TGGGGAAATCCGTCCCTTCCCTAACTTTCACTGCACATAGAAATGGAAATATGATATTTGGAAAACAGAAGCAAATTGAGAATATAAAAGCAGTAAAGCAGTACCTGACCAGAAAGGAGCGGAAGAAGGGGGAACAAAGCTGTAGTCTGGAGGAGTTACAAAAGAAAACCCACAGAACAAAGAAGGGGCTTAGAGAAAGAAAGGGGGAAAAGAGAGACAAGCAAAATGACATTGAAATATTGGTAAAAATAATATTGTAATCTTCATAGTTAAGTCTCTGATAACAAGAAACCTAGAGGTTCACCCAAAAGAACTTAGCAGTGGTGTTTTTGCCCTTGCCCCAATTCATAAATTTGTGCCCTTTCTTTTGCTCTTACCTGAACAGGTACGGAGGATGTGATGTATTCAAACTGAAAGCATTGTGCTTATTTCCTCTCTGTGTGGTGCTACAGCCCTCAAAGAGATGTAGATGCAAAGGATGACTGCATGACTGTCTTCAGCCACAGTTCTCAATATGACATGCCAGCAAATTGCATGACCTGTGGCTTTTTATGGGAGTTGAACCCAGAGACTAGAAATCAATATGGCATCTTCCCTTGCCCATCCACCATTGAGAGAAAAACACTGATTCCTCTGTCACAGAGAGAAAACAGGCCCCAGAACTGCACATGGCAAGCCTCCTGAAGGTTGCCATCTTCTAAATCAAAAGGGACACCAATGCCCTTAACAGAAGGCGATATTTCAAGTTTTCAGCTTCTCCCATCACAGTAGTGCAATAAGAGAGATGTTACTAGGCTTCTGATGCAGAAAAGATGTTCTTTTTCTCCCTCTCCTTAGAAACAATGAGCAGATTTGGGTGATCATATCTTGGTTTAAGAAGCTGAGATATGAATGGGCCTCTGCATCTCCTTTATTCCTTCCTTCACACAACCTGTGATCAAACCAGGAAGACTTTAATTAACTAAGTCCTGTTTTGTCTGAGTTGGGAAATGACAGTTACTCGTTTCAGAAGATGCCAGGATATTATACCATGGTTTGATTTTTGGTTTTAGCTGTTTTAATATGCTGGTTTGTTGCACAGCTGGTAAGCATCGTTTCCTAGTTCAGACAAAACAGGACTCCATAGTTAATTAGAGACCATTTGATTTGATTGCTTGTGTCACGGCTGGAAAATAAAGGGCTATGCATGTGGATTGTACATGCTGGTAGGCAGATAGGATTGTCCAAACTTGGCCTATACCTGTTCCCAGTTGATCTTGCATATGGTACTCTCTCTCTTGTAGGGTTGGGCTGGGAACTTAGAACTCTTACACATGACTTTCCAGATACTTCCAGTGTATCAACAAACAGAAGGCCCCATTAATAAGTTGTGTGGCATAAATCAACACCAACCAGGCAGCTCTGTAGATCCATGAAAGCATCACCATGAGCAACAGTGGAAGTTCAGTCTGCTATTTTCTGCTCTCTTGAGGTCATGACACCAGTGTCATTATGGCCTCAGCCACATTTTGAACACGAATAAGTAACCAGGAACTGTCAGGCTTCCCATCTAGTACAATATTATTTCTATTGACTTTAGACCTGGGCAGGACAAGTAGGAGTAAAAGGAAGACCAAGAATTCTTTTTCACATTCTATGGAGAGAATTTTTTTCTGAGTTGCGACCGCCACCCTTGGTAAATTCTTTGCCAGCTCTATCTAGTTATGTGTGGTGCGTGTATCAAGTCATACTCCCTTCTTTCTTGAAACTTTGGACAACAGAGATAGAAGATAAAGAATAAGAAAATGATGATTCTTCTGAGAGGATGGTAGCCTGGGGCTTGGAGAAGTAAAGGGTTTTAGATTTCATTCAGATTTCCACCAATTCTGGGCAAGTCACTGCCTCTATTTTCCATTAAAAAGGCCAAGAAAATAAGCCTCATAACAGGCTCTGGAAGGACATGCCAGGTCTTTCCCCAAGGCTGATAAATGCATATGATAGTTCTGCTTTACTGCACAGCCTATAAGAGCTCAGAATCTAGCCTTCAGTTATTGCAATTGTGATCTATAAACCACTTTGTCTTGAATTGGATTTCAATAGCCTGACACATCCGGACAGCCGCAATCTAGGGAAGGCTGAAATATAATATTTTGTTATTGTAAATGGATTGCAGTGATTCTCAGCCTCACATGGCCCTTTTGCCTCCACCCCCCTCCAAATTCTGCCCCAGATGACAGGAAACAGTGGTTTCCCATGTCATCTGGATACAGGAAACTATGGATGGTGAAGCCTCAGTTTGATTTCAGTCTAGAATCTAAACCTGCCTTCTCCAGTCTGGACCCTCCAGCGGTGTTGGGCCACTTGCTCTGAGGGACAGCAGCCGGGGAAAATCTGGTCAAAATGAAATCAGAATCACACTTGGGTTAAACCATGGTTTCAGATTGTGGTTGGAAAAAAGGCATTTAGCTGCGAAGGCAAACAGAACTTTGCTATAAAGAAGCATGAGAAATCTTCAATCCCTTCTCTTTCTCTTACACACAAGGGTGGAGATGAAACACACAAGCCTGATGCTCATTCTGAGAACAAGAACCACCATGTTATTGCTGCATCTAAATAAGATCTTAGACTCTACCTTAGTTATTAAAGGACTGCTGACAATATTCAGATCAGAAGAATATATGTGTGAAAACAAAGCCATTAGTTAATCTGAAATTAACTGAATAGATCAACTAAGACTGTTAATTTATTTGCACAGAAGCTCAACATTGTTCTCATTGAACTCAATGGGGTTTATTTCTGATTGTGCTGCACATGAAGCTTTGTTCTGACTGAGACTTACAGGGAAAACACTGGTAGTTTATTGATCAGCATATTATATTATCCCTCCACTGTATGGATTATTGAACATCAACAGGGAAATGGTGCTAAAGGTCACTGCAGAAATTTTTTTTTCTATTGACTCAATAAATGAGATCCTGTTTAAAGCAAGTTCATGTATCAGTGATTCATGAAAAAGTCTCCAAATCAGTTTCCTCCATGTTCTTACTGTGACCTAACAACTCCCATGCAGGACACTGTGTTAAAAAGTAACATGTTTTTGAAATGTGGAAGATGTCTGAACAAGCAGTTTATAATGTGGCTTAAGGAAGATGCCATGGAAGGCGGAGAGAAGAAAAGAAACCAAAGCTCCAGCTGATGTTCCAAACTCCAATGTCCACAGCTGAACTTCCTGAGCAGCCTGATCCACATCATTATTTAGTATGCATGTACAAAGTCACAAGTCAACTGTATTTCTTCAGATAAGTGTGTGAGTGGTATTTCTGTCTGATCCAATCCAAAAATAACTAGAATGAAAAAAAAATACAGGACAATACAAGGAAGTTGTAGATTCATCCCTATGAAGCAAGGTGATAAAATAAAAAGAGGAATGGATAAAGCCAAGAAGCACTGGAAAAGAAGTATATAGACATTATTGAATGCTGTGGTGAAGCATTACAAGGATGTCAGAAGGAAAGAAAAAAAGGGAGCAAAAAGGAAGAAGGATCATTTGCAGGAAAAAGAAGACTAAATAGAGGACATGAGCAACAAGATCGTTTTTATCTGAATTTCTTAAAAAGGAAAGGTGTGATTCTTGGAATTAAGTCCCACTTACTCAGTGGGGTTTTATTTCTGTAAAGATGTGGTGGATTGGGGTAAAATGCTGTTTTAATATGTGGAGCATTCACAGCTGAGCCTCTAACCAGGACTGTTAATACAGAAGAGATGCTGAGATGGAACACAAACAGGAAAACTTGGACAAAGCTGGTTTTACATCCACATCGAAAAACTGATGGAAGGACAGGCCACCTTGAAGAAGACCCTAAATCTTTCCTACAAGTCTGATTTTCTAAAGCTGTTTATAAGAACCTGGCATCTTTGGGAAATAGATGAAACTCAAGAAGTTCAACTCAAGTGCTGGGCTAGTCAAAATCAGAGACATGAGCAACCAGAGTGAGGTGTCTTGGCAGTCTCTGTTATCAAGACTGCTACATTTCCCATTCTTTAAAAATACTGAATATAATGTGACTATACCATAGTTCAAATGCTGCACTGCTGTTTTTGCAATAAATTGGAAAAAAAAATCTGCAGGTCATGAGGCAGATTTCCAGTGTGCTTCTACTTCTCAATGAGTTCTGTACTTGCACAATTTTTCCCTATTTTAACTGTCAATTGACTGAGTAACTTGCAGTAAACACTTGACCTTTGCACAGGGATGTGTTTGTGTGCACCTGTGCATAAATTAATTATACTCAGTCTACACATAGGTATTAAAGACTGTTATCCATCCCATACACACTGCAGTTAGACATCCAGCAAAGAAAGGAAGCTCCAAATATCTACAAATGTGTGATATGGGGAGGAGAAGCAAAGGGCAGGAGAAACAGTTTAATCCATTCCCTACATTCCCTTTCCCCAGCCAACTTTTATCTTGCTATTTTTATTGATATTATTTGCTGTACCCTTCTAGCCTTCCCAGATGTTCTTTTTGCACATAAAGGCAGCAATTCAGTTTGCCACTGATCTAGGAAAAAATCCTATTTAGAAACACTAACAAGCAACAATGTACATGGAATCACTATGAACTTTAGGCTGCTCGCAAAAATTCTGCTTGATAATTTGTGGCTTTAAATCACACAAATAATTCATTTAAATGTCAAATGCAAGATTAGAACTACATGTTTATTAATTCATGTAGCTGAAAACAGCACAGCCAATGCAAAATGTCTGTTTACAAATCAATTGCTCACTTACATTTTTAATAGATGTTTGAGCAGCAGTTTGATTTAAGGATAGGCAGTCAGGAAGTCTAACTAGACCTGTTCATAAACCTGTCAGCAGATCTTGATTCTGCTTAGCTGCAGGAAAATCTAGCAAAATGCATTATCATATTAATTGGATATATGTCAAAAGTGTAAAATGAAGATGTTTTAACCTATTGCTGTTCCGTTATTATTAAAATGACAACAAATGGTCATGCTCACCATTGCTACTTGTTCGGTTACTCCTTTGGTCCAGCGTATTTTCCCATTCCTTGTATGGGTACTGCAGAGTTGTATCCAAACTTCTGAAGCCTTCCTTGAGAGAGTGATGCTTGTAATACTCCACCAGTTCCTTCCAGAAGACAAAAACAGAGATTAAAATTTCAGAGGATGCTTTCTTCTCCAGTGCTTGGATATGCAATATTTAACACAGCCTTATAAGAAGCTCATGCACTGATTTCTTTCACTAAAACAATGGTGACACTTCTATTGCTTGTCAGTGCTCACACGTGTAACATCACAGGAGAGAAGCAGACCAAATACAAAGGGGTGTAGGTCTAAGTCACAGATGGACGGTGCTGCATTTTAACAGATTCTGAAATATAAGCATTCCGTATCTCACCTTTCCCCAAAAAGTGCTCAAGAGGCCAACAACAATAAATGGCATTGAATTATATTTATGCATGTGAAACCACTCTTGTTTTGACAAACAGAGATAGTAAAAGCATTTTGAGCAGTGCCATTCAGCTTATGACTAGAACAGTTTTCTGGTGGAAAAAATAACCCTGAAGTTTGAGATATGCATAATGTCAGGGAAAAGAATTACTGTCCCAGACATCTATATTTTTATTCACAAGGAACTGTCTGCCATCTTCGCAGGGAGAATTGCCCTTTGGGCCTTACTTACACATAGTGGCCCAATGTGATTGTTCCTTTCTACTTTCAGGTTTATGTGAAGCATTTTACTCATATGGGTTGGGTCTGAGTAGTTGTATTTTAGAAATGTATATCTGACAGCAAATAAGAATTTAAAATTTCATCTAAATGTGAATGTTCATGCAAATCTTTAAAACAATCTCAGATTTTCAAAAATGGGATGGATCAACCTTACGAACACATATGAAAGTGACCAGAACTGGCTATGCACTTATTCATCAAATGCCAGTTATTTTCTTCCATTCCAGTGCAATTCTTTCTCCTGTTCCTGGTTAGTTTTGGAAGTAACTGAATTTTCAAAGAGCAAGGCAACAATGTGCACACAAAGGGTGTGATCATTACCTCACAAAATGCACTAGAACGCTCAGAAAAGGACAAGCGCTCAAGCCACCAACCAAGAAAACTGGTGGACACTCAGCCCATTCTAAAGCAAGTTGTCAGAAGCCATTAAGCAGCATCTGAGCCATTCAATTGCTAGTATCTGAAAACGCGGTCTTCAGGATGACAAGGTTAGGTTCATACATTCCCATTACAAAGGAGGAGGAGGAGTACAGCAAAAGTAAATGGCACAAAATCTCACACTGGTGCAATTCTTGTAGTAGACGAGACGGTAACAGTTTCTGATATCTGTACCCATGTCTGATTTGGAAATCTGGGGGCAAATTTCTGTAATAGGTCTCGCTCTAATTCCCCTTCTCCAAGGATTATTTGCTTCTTTCAGGGATGCAATTTACGTGTTTGCTCTTCATAAGCTCACAGAAGAACAGATCAGAAAGCTGTGAACAAGCCACCATTTCTTCTGTCCACTTTGTTTGTTTCAAAGAACACACACATCAGAGAACAACACACCCTTGCAAACAGCAGTTGCAGGCTCTCTGCGTGGATGAACTGATAAGAAATTGTTTGTATTTCTTATCACATGACATTAGCAACATGTCAAGGCAGCTTTTCCTGTTATCTTTGAAAGACATACAGTGCACTTTCAAAAACCACACCTATAGCAAATGTGATGATGAAATTATAATACACACAGCCAACAATGCACTCAGGACTTTAATCTGAAAGAAAAAATCTGCTACCCGCACGTGTTCTTTCCAAGATATCTGTAGACTGTGTCTTGGAGAGAACACAGGTGGTTATTCTGGTTTATTACCATAAAAGAACAGACACAATTGTGACTCCCAAGAGCATATCTATGTTTTATAAGGAACAAGGGCAATTGCTCTCAAACACAGATCTTAAATTCTCCTTTGAGAGCTGGTATGGTGTATTGGTTAAAGTGTTGGACTTAGACCAGGAATACTGGATTCAAATCCCTATTCAGCTGAAAAGCTTACTAGATAACTTCAGGGGATAAGCTACTGGGAATTCCTTGTAAGAAAGGGAAAGGGAAAACTGCAATAAATATATATTTTAGGCATTTTCAGATGGTATTTGTTTTGAAATCTGGTAATGCTATCTGACAGACAGTCCATGTGTCAGTTTTTCTTAGATTTCCAGTAGCCAAGGTATCATTATTGCTTTTCCTGATCTTATTGCAAGCATACTTAACCCTTATACTCCAAGCACTCTTCAGAGTTAAGAGCTACAAATACTCAAATGAGTCTACTTCTACTCACACAGGCTTATTCTGTATTCAGAATCAATGCTAAAATCAGGGCTTGGACATACAAAGTCCTTCACTGCCTGAGCTTCAAGTCATCAAATCATTTCATCTCTGTCCAAGAGGAGAAGCTGGGCACTTGCTAAACAGGGCAGGGAAGTTTAGTCACCATGACACCATTGCAAGTTCTTTTATGGCTTGTTGGTTAAGGAGGATGTTTCATCTGAAGTAACCTCTTCAACTGAGTTACAGAAGAAATAAAATATTCTAGTTATCACAACACAGAAGGTCAATAGCCAGTGTGGCATTGTGGTTGGGATGCTGTACTGGGAACCCAGGAGATCCAGGTTCTGAGATCCTATTCAGCCATGAATTTCCCCAGGTGGCTTTGGGCCCAACACTCACTTTCACCCAAAACCTGCTCACAAGGTTTGTGAAGATAAAAGCAAATGGAGAAGGACTATGTAAGCTGCCTTGGGTCCCTCACAAGAGCAAAGAGAGCAAGATATAAATGAATGTAATAACAATAATAATAGCCACAATGGAATCAAGAAGTTCCTTCATCAAAAACGTACATCATCATTTAATATGGAACATTTTATTCTGGGAAATTTATTTCAACCCCTCAAGCAGCATGCAATGAGGTGCTTCTGTTGCCCCTGCTTCACTTCCACTCTGCTATTCCACTTCTGTAAGCTGTTGGTCCCACCACCATTGTGCAAATGAGATCCATTGCTTACATGGCAGAGAGCCAGCGCTTGCTAAAGGTGGCCCTGAAACCAGTGGATCGGGCAAGTCAGTGGAACAACTTTATGCAAGCACCTCTGACCCCACTTGTTCCAAAACTGAGTGTTAGCACCCCTTTCAGGTTGCTTGTGAAGGCACTAAGCCACTGTTGCTCTTGATGCTTGTGCAACTGAACTGGCAAGGTGAAACAGAGTCAGTGGAGGCAAAAGCAACTTCCCTGATTCCCCTAATTTCTTTACAAATTAAAGAATGGTTTTAGAGGTAAACACCTCCTGGCATAATTAAATGTCCCTCTAAAATAAGTCTTCATAGGACCAAGGCCACAGAGATGCAGGTATCTGGGAAGAGTACAAAATATGGATTTCACCAAACCTGAGAAATTGCTTGCACAAGCAGTCAGAACAGGGAATCTGATTCTAGGAATCCTGATTGTCTAAACAAATTCCAAAGGAGCCCATGCACAGGCATTTAAGAAATAGGTAGAAAGACCAAAGCAAAAGCATAGCATCTATTTATTCTGTTTATTTCCGAACCGCTGCATTTCACTTCTCAAAATGCAAGTATAAGGCACTTGATTTACTGTAAACTGCTAACTCATCAGCAATTCATTCAATATTATCATTCTATCCAGTCATGTTTAAGTTTCTAAAACCAAAAACAATCAGGCAGGCCATGCTTCAGACCCAATAAGCAGGAATACAAAATGTGAAGTTATTTATAAAACTGAAAAATCATGTAGCTGCGTTAGACTAAAGGTTGGTCTCTGAATGAACATTCTGGCTTGGGAAGACTTCAGATTCAGGAATATGCATTGTAAGCAGGAAGCACTGGGGACTTGCAAGTCTTATCCACATACTTGCCCCTTCAGACAATACCAAAGAAGCCAGTGAAAAGGGAGCAAGAATCATTTGGCTTTTGGCATGGAAACGGTTACAGCAAAAACCACTATAGAGCAAGAACATATATAACTCATTCATCCTCTTTTTGTTCCCATCATCTAATAGCAAGGGAAGGAAACCCTGTTCCAAGCTTCCTGCTCATGCATTCTCCATTGCATGGGAGGAGGGTCTGCTTTTTGGCTCCTCTTCCACCATTATTTTCCCATCAGCTGGCTCTGCAGGCCTCAAGGACCGGGGGTTAATATCTGCAGGGAGGAAATCAGAGCTCAAAATCACACAGGGCTACATGGGTACTGCTGCCTCTTTTCCTGTTTCTATTCCACAGCCAGAGCACTTACATGCTCTCAGTGAAACAGATTAATATATTGATTCATATCAACAGCCTTGCCAATGATGAACCCCAGAAATATTCTTAACTTATGCCTGTCTAGTTTTAAAGACACAGAATAGAAACTTTGCCATAGACAGGGTGAATACCTGCCCTTACTAACCATACTGCAAATGGTAGAGCATTTCATCTAGCCAGGAAAAAGAGCTGGAGAAAATGTGGGACTTTTAAAGAGTTAAGATAACTTGGTAGAACAGGAAAAAGAGGGGCTGAGAAGTCCCGAGAAGAATGGAACAGTGTCTCCTAGCACCTAAATTAAGAGGGGAGAAGCATCTCTTAGCATCTAG